TAAATGTTCATTAAAATGAATAAAATTTAATAATAATAAAAAAAACACATTAATGTCAAAAAAGGTCAGGCTTATTGGTCACTATAGTAGACACTGGTAGAATTCCTGAGACTGTGGCCTTCCGTTACCCTTTAAACCTGGAACAAAACTCTCCTTGTGGCTCAACTTCCAGCCAAATTATAGGCCTCTAACATGACCACTAATACAAGGGAGGCACTCAACCCTCAGAACCATCAATTCTATAAGATCAAAAGAGGAGCATGTGCCTGAGGATGAAGCCTAGAAGGCAGGAAATAGTGGACTACAAAGATTAATGGAAATGAGAATGACAGAGAGGAAGTGGGAAGAGAGTGCAGTTACACTGTGTGCGCTAAAACTAATGTCATAAAACAAAATGTGTGCGAATGGTTGAACAAAAAACCTATCTGCATGCACACCCATGTTTATTGCAGCTTTGTTCACAATAGCAAAGAGCTGCAAACAACCCAAGTGCCCATCAACAAATGAATGGATAGAGAAGCTCTGGTATATTCACACAATGGAATATTATGCAGCATTGAAAAACAAGGAACTGATGAAATATACAAAATATTATTCAAAATGGATGACCCTGGAGGACATTATGCTGAGTGAAATATCTCAGTCACAAAAGGACAAATACTGCATAGGGCCACTGTTGTAAAATGGGACATCAGGGTTGAGGGAAGACAGAAAAGGAGGGGAGGAATGATGGATACTGCATTGATACAGATGAGGAGAGAACTGTTTAAAAGGGATATATGATTAGATATTATTGTCATGACATGAATCTAGAACGAAGGCTGCATAGTGGACTGGACTTGGGGGGAGGGATTGCATAACAATGAAATAATTTTTCTTTTACTTTTCAAGGAGAAAAGTGAATTGAGACAGGGAATGGGCAGAGAGAAAAGTGCAACAGTGAATGAATGGAAACCCTAAGTCTCTGTAAACGTTCATTAAAATGAATAAAAAAATTAATAAGAAAAAATAAAAAATACCATTTACTTTGTCAACTTTCACCCAAATCACTATAAAAAAATTGGGATAAAACAATTCCAAACATACTATTAATGTTGTAAAAGACAAAGAAAGGCTATGAAAACATTTTAGGTTAAATGAAGAAAAGAGATATAAACAAAAAAAGAAAATATCTGACCCTAGACTGGATCCTGGCCTGAAGAGGGAAAGTGTTATAAAGGATATTATTTGGTCAATCAACAAAGTTAGAATATGAATGGCAGATGACAATCAAGTATAGAATCAGCGTCAAAGTTCTCAAGATTGAAATCCATGTCAGCTTAGCCATGCCCTGGATCTCAGTCTGATGTTAATTATCCTCCACGTTATGAAATGGTGTGATTATCCTCAACTCATTGCTGTCGAGACTGAACCGACTCATAGCTGCCCCTCCAGTGGGTTTTCAGTAGCTGAAGTGAATCACATGGAAGGCGACCGCCTATGTTCCTCCCTTGAAGCAGCTGGAAGAGTTGAACCACCACCTTTGGGCTGCCAGTGCAACTCCCCACTCACGGGACCCTTAGAGCTCCTTATATATTGTAAAGATTGATGATGCCAAGGCCCTTCTCCCAAAGCTGGCAGAGAGCAACTTTCCCCTAGACTTCTAACCTCCTAAACTGTGAGCACATGCTGCGGAAAATGCGGTGCCAAAAGACTTGTTTGTACAGGCAGACTCCCATTTTACTGCAAATCGTAGACACTGCATTTTGCACAACTGGAAGGTCTGTGGCAATCCTGCAACAAGAAAGTCTACTGACATCATTTCTGCAACAGCACAGTGCTCGCTTCGTGTCTGTGTGTCACAGTTTTTTCATAATGCTATCGTACATTTAGTAGATTACGGTATAGTGTAAACGTAACTTTTATATGAAAACAATAAAAAATTGTGTGACTTTCTTTGTTACGATATTTGCATAATTGTGGTGGGTCTACGAGGTCGGCCTGTGCAGGACAGTGGAGATGGCAATGCTATACAGGCACCTCAGCCACCCTGAGCCGACCCTGCTGCATACCTGCTCCTCTAACCCAGATGACGAGTGGACACCAAAACCAGAAATCACCTCTACACTTTTCACACAGACTACCAACTAGTTCTCATCTCAGAGGCACCGAGCCATGATCAGTTGTATTGTTTCCAATTAATCACTAAGTGTGTTGGCTCTTACAGTCTATTTGTCCCCAAATGCTGCTTCACAGTGTTGAGCTACCTTAGGTGCAACAATGTTCAATGGCATTGCACCAGAACAGAATTAACAGTAATTTGTACTGGCGGCATTTTTTTTTTACATGACAATTACCATATTCAAAGACATGGGGCAGGTTTTGCGTTTGAGCACCACCAAACAGTAAAATCAGGTACTGTGAAGCTCCAAGAAGTTCAGCAGGCACACGTGCCAGTAAATGAATTCATGGATTAAGGTCCCCAAACACAAACAACTTGCCATGGCCCTGAAGAAAATGGGAAGGCATTTTCTCAGTTTGGTGCTAGGGAGCCCTGGTGCCTAGTGGGTAAGGAGTTGCATGCACTGCCAACTCAAAGGCAGGGGGTTCGAATCCACCAGATACTCTCTGGGAGAAAGAAGGGCAATCCTGTGTGATTACAGCCTTTGAAAAGCTGCTGGAGGGTCATCTATGTGTTTGTTCTGACTCAGGGGCAATGAGTTCAAGTTCAGTTCAAGTATAAAAGTATCATTACTGCTCCATGTGGCATGTGAGAAAAGAAAACTTATTCTCACTCTTCCAGAGCCAGCTCCCCAGAGGGGCCAGCACTGGCCAACCCCAGCTACAGGGAACAGTTTATTTCTTTCCCTTTAATCTGAAGGCTTGGGGGAGGGAGGGGTGGGCAGGTAGAAGAGTGTAACAATGAATGAATGGAAAGCTTCAGGCTCTGTAAACTTTCATTAAAATTATTAATAATAAAAAAAATTTAAAAAAATATTGACCTCCTTGGTTAGAGTTAGATGGTACTATTTCCCTTTCTCTAAATAAAAAAAAAAACCAAAAAAGAAGCACTGTGGCAATTGGACAATTAAAACAGACATGGGGTGGGAAAGAAGAACGAACTGGGGAGGAGGGTGGAGAAAGCAGTGCAACAATGAATGAATGAAAACCCAAAATCTCTGTAAATGTTCATTAAAACTAATAAAATTTAATAAAAAAAATTTAAAAAAAAAAAAGAGGCTTATGGGTTTGTCTCCCTGACCAATTTCGGTATTGCCTAAAGCTGGGGCCCATTTCTTACATTTTCATACTCTCAGAGCCTTAGTGAGGTGTCTGTCACATGGAAGGTATATAGTATAATTTGGCAGATTAAAAAAATAAATCATGAACACAAACCAATACTATACCTGACTTTTTTGTATGTTGCTCCTGAACAAATTTCTCCTGTTCCTTTTGGAAATCTCCTATAATGGTCTGTTAAAAAACAACAAAACAAAAAGCTTACTACTAGGTAAGAAATTTAGAAGTGTATTTGAGATATTTCAGTAATTTTCACTGAGTTGTTGTTAGATATCTTGATTTGATAATGACCCTGTGAACAAGAGTTTCACTGAGTAAGCCTAAAAAAGTGACTTTTTTTTCAAATGCAAAAATAAAATGACTTAAGATTTCATTTATTACTCCGTAAAATAATAAAGGACAGGCCAAAGTTCACGTTTAGAGACCGTTATCACTCACTCTCTGCCTTTAAGTTCATAGGGAGCCTCCATTGGGTTCCTGAGGCTAGCAATTCTAACAGAAAAGATTGACCTGCTTTCCTTCGAAGAGCAACTAGTGGATTCGAACCATCAGAGATGTGCAGCCTTTTGGTTAGCAAGCACAACACGCTATGAATTAGGCCACCAGAGCTCCAAACAATTAGTATATGCAACAAAAATACCTTGATGACAAGATATCTAACGTCCTAAGCAAATCCCCACTGCCGCAACAAATGAATTCACCCCTTAAAGTCTTAACTAATTTTTCCCTTTACTCTTAATTAATTCGTCCTTTCTGGGCAAGCTGCTGAAAAACTTAACCTTGATGTGAAGGCATAAGTATGTTCTGAAATAGTTATAGTTTAAAATTAAATGCACATGTAACTTAACAGTATCAATGTAACTTATAATAGTCTAAGAAAAACCAGTTACTTACATTGGGTTAATTCATACTTTTGCTACTTGATATACAAAAAAGGGTAACATTTTCTCCACTAATCTTGACAATGAATATTTTTATCAAAACATTAGATACTTTCTACTTGGGCTAGAGATAAACTTTGTAAGGGACAATTGTGTCTGTAGCCTGTGAATTTCACACATTTTGACTTCCAAAAGATACTGAAACCTACCTTATCAATGATGCCATCTATTTTCCCTTCTTCTACTGATTTCTTTATTGTTTGTGCTGTTTTGGCCACCGATTCAGTTATCTTTTTTGTAGCTACAGTTGCAAAGTTAAACAGATAGTCTGCAAAGAAAAAAAAAAAGAGTCCAATGTCTCTTCATACACAATAGTTCTTTTATTTGGCCTTTTCTCCTCCAGGGCTCTCGTTAAGAACTGAAAACTCAAGGGCAACTTCCTTGCATATTACATCTTACCACAAAGAATCAGGTCCACTGACAATATGCCACTATTTTTTACAGCTTGGTTGCTGAAACCAGGCCTTGAATTCCTCTCTCCAAGAAAGCAGACTCTCCCCAGCAGTTGTTTCAAACACTTCTTGCCCTGTTTATGTCTCCAGCTCTAACTGATCTCAGTAAATAACTATCTCCCCCATCCATTTACATTCGCCTTCCTTTTTTAGCCTCTATATATCCTAGCTTTGTTTTCTTCTTATTCCCTCCTGTTCAAAAACAAAAATACTCTTTTTCCAGATGAACCAATCCCATGAGAAAACTGGGCAAGTTTTAATAAATAGAAATCTTGGCAAGCTCTAACTGAGCAACTACTTGCATATGAACTCTTCTATGTTAGCTATTGTCAAGTTGCTTGAGGTTTATGGCAACCTCATGCATGAGATTGGACCATTGTGATCCACAGAGCTTTATCCAATGGCCAATTTCCCAGATCTAGATTGCCAGGCCTTTCCTTTTTATCTTAGTTTGAAAATACCTCTGAAACTTGTTCAGTGTAACCACAACACACAAGCATGTCCTGACAAATGGGCAGTGGTTCTGCTTGAGGGGCACTGACTGAGAACTGAACATGGGTCTCCTGCATGGAAATCAAGAATTCAACCACTGCCTACGACTACTTCCATAAATTATTTTTTTTTTTTAGCTAACAATAATGGAAAAATAAGTGAGACAAGATTAAGACTGGAACATAACGAGCTTTCATTTTTACAGAAGAACAGCAGCATAACAAAAAAATGTTCCTGAAGACCTGAAATAACATACAGAGCAAGGCTCTACGGCACTCTGGCATAATGGGCAACTGGTGCATACATAGAACTTCAAAGAGCACACACTCTGCAGAGTCTAGCATGCAGGAGGACACCTAGGCAGGTGCTGGCCCCAAGGATCAGGGACAGCTTTGATACAACTCATTTGCAATGCTCCTGACCTCACAGCAAATAGTCAGAACATGTTAGGGAGGGTTTGTAGCTATGCTTGGATGTAAAGTATCCAGTCAGGTCCTAATGTCCATAGTCCCAAGGACAAACATCGAAGTATATACACCTTCTCACTACACAATCACATCTGGAGCCCTTTTCGTTTAAAAGACAGGAACTGTACTTAAGGAAGTGTACTTATTCCTTAAGCAGAGGAAGGAAGTAGCGCTCAGAGATATGAGAGAAAACTGTTTCCCAAGAGCAGTTGGCCTGCATTCCCAGGCCAGAGAGAGAGACTGATCAGAGACTGCCAGGTAAGAAGCTAATAAAGACAAGAAGTACCTTATTAATCTGTGAAAGAAATTGTCTAATGTCAAGTTACAGGTAGTTTTGCTAAGTGGTTAGGGAAACACTGAAGCTAAGCAAATATCTGATAAAAGTTAACCAGAGTAACATGGGCACAATGTCCATTTTAAGAGCTCTGGAACAAAGAGATGGCCTGAAATGAAGCAGTAATCAAAGGAGAAGTCAAATTAAAAAGTTTGAGAATGAGTTTGACTCAGCTAATACTTTATTTTCCTTATAAAAGCTTCCTGGGAAGAAGGGTAATATATTTTTGCCAACCTGAGGCTCCCTAGCATGTTATTTTTCTAAAGGTCCTATGTGTGCTATATGTGTGAGTGTGCCGAAGAAACAAGACCCACTGCAGTGTTCACAGTACTTTTGAAAGGAAAGGAAAGAGGAGTTGGCTTTTGCTCTATTGCTGGGCACAGATTGGTGGTAGGGACTTTTTTTTAATAGCTAAGGCTCATCTTTGGCCATTCTCTTAACTGACTTAAACTGTAGGAATGATTCATATTTAACATATTTAAAAGTACTGGTATTGGGGAGCTCTGGTGGCCTAGTGGCAAGGAGCTGCAACTACAATCCCAGAGCCGAACGGTTCGAATCCACCAGATGCTCTGCCGGGGAAGGAGGGACAGTCTCTTCCTGTACCAGTCAGATCTGATTTGACGGTACACGCACACAAAAATAATAAAAAATAAAATTTTTTTTAAAAAAAGGACTGGTATTTTTTCATAAAGAAAGACTACAGATGCAACTCTAATTTGGCCAACTTTAACAAAAACAAAACCCAACCCACCATTTTTGCTGAGTAAAAAAAAGGTACTTTTGGGCGGGAGCCGTTGAGGTAGTGAGGAGTTCTTCAATGAGTTTGTTCTGTTGGAAGCAGACCGGAAGTGTCTCAGGAAGGAAGGCTAGGATCAGAGGGGCAGGTCCAGGTTAAGGGGCTGTGTACACACCACTGGTAACTGCTCATTTGTCTCCATTTATAAATTGGTAACCATGGACCAGGAATTCTATAGGGTCCAGTCTTGAAGGTAAGTATTTGCAGAACAAATGGTAGCAGGAAATTCCAAGTAGATTTAAAAAGAAAATGAGAATCTATTCAGTAGAAGTCAAGCACAGAGATGCTTAATCCCAACTTTCAAGACACAAGCAGATCTTTTTAAAAAGAATATACTTTTTAAGACCCTATGTCTACTGCTGTCGAGTTGATTTTAACTCATGGTGACCCTTGTCAGATTTTCAGCCTAATGGTTATAAATTTCCACACATTATGTCTTTGGGGATACAATTCACTCCACAACACACAGGTCACCATGACTGACAGCCAATTTAATAGCAGCAAGTTTTAAGAAGCACCTGGCACAAATTTAGGAGCTCAAATCTATAGCATAAATAGACTGTTAAATATAACTGAAAATGCACAAGTAGCAGAGAAGAAACTAGATCACTGGGACCTCCTAAAAACGGAATCCTTACATGCATCAAAAGACTTCTCCAAAAGAATAAAAAGAGAACGTACAGACTGAGAAAAATATGTGGCAATGACATCTGACAAGGGACTCATCTCAAGATATAGAGGAAACTTTCATAACATGCAAAACTGACAAACAGACACATGAAGAAATGCTCAAGATCATTAGCTATTAAGAGATGTAAATCAAAACAACAGTGAGATACCATCTCACCCCAGCAACAACAGCAAAGTTCAGTAACATGGTACACCAAACGCTGCTGAGGGTGAGGAGGGACTGGACCTCTCATACTCTGCTGATGGGAATGTAAGACGACAACTATGGAAAGCAGTTTGGTGCTTCCTTAGAAAGCTGGGAATAGAAACACCATTTGATCCAGCAATCCCACTACTCGGCATATATCCCAAAGGGCTAAGAGCTGGGATACAAACAGACATAAGCACATCCATATTCGTTGCAACATTAATTACAATAGCAAAGTGATGAAAAATAACCCAACTGTTCATCAATTAACGAATGAATGGATCAACGCAATGGAGTACTGAGGCAAAAAACAACAAAGATGATAAAACACTGCATAACATGGATGTATTTAAAGGCATTATACTGCTCTATGATTGTCTTCCTCCAGGCTGAGCTGGGATTTGTGTGGAGAGAAGGGGAGGATGCAGGCAGAGAGAAAAATCGTGGAATTTGGCGACTGCGTATTTGAAAGCAAGACACTTTTCGTTGCCATGAATTCTTTTTAGTAATATGTAACGTAGTCTTCAGTTAAAAATTCGCTGTAAACAAACAAAAAAAAAAGAAAGGCATTACATTGAGCAAAATAATTAGGTCACAAAGGGCTATTATGGTATAAGATTACTATTTTAAAAAGCTAAGAAAAGGTTTACTGACAGATTCCTTCTTGGATAGTCCAGAGAGGAGAAAGGAGGGATAGAGGAGTAAAAATTTATATATAGGTAAATTGTATGAAGGGAAAGGCAATATATAATAAAGGATTGATCAGGTATGGTAATTAAGGACAGTAATAAATTGTAATTAATGTTGTAAAACAAAATGTGTATGGATGATTGAATGAGAAGCCAATATAATTTGTAAACGTTCATGCAAATAAGATAAAAAAACCACACAAAAGCCCCTGCAGGTAACTAAAAAGGGAACCAGTACCTCCACTCTGCACTTCCCACCTCCTGACCTCTGTGCTCCAGTCAAATGCATCCCCTTAGGAGTTCCTTGGGTGACGCAATTGGCTAGGCACTGGATTTTTGATGCTTCAGACTTGATTCAAAGGTGTCTCAGAAGACTGACTTGTTGATTTACTCCAAAAAGGTCAAGTCCTGAAAACCTTAAGAAGCAGTTCTGTTCTGCAGAGATGGGGTTGCCAGGGGTTGGAATCAATCAGGTAGCAACTAATGTACCATCACAACTTCAATCATTCCAAATTTCGGCTTTCCCAATTTTCCCCACTGGACACAGTTGTTCCTGCTCTAGTGAGTTCACTGCTCAGCACTACATTTTTATTTCTCGGTACACCATTTGGGGCCCTTTGGCTGAGATGCTGTATTTTCATCCTGTGGGGTTATGTCTGTTGCCTCCATCCCGCAAGAAACTTTATGAACATTAGACAGGGCTTTTTTATTGCAAATGTGTGCGGATCCACTCTCAGGCTCACTCTTCACATCCCTCTTGCCTTTTAGTAGATTCTTAAACTGATCCTTCCTAGATTTAATATCTATCTTTGCTGCAAGCTGCCCTGGAAACATACAGTGTAAGGTGCCAAGCTGCTAACAGAGGGTTGTTGTTGTTGTTGTTGTTAAGTGCCGTCAAGTCATAGCGACCCTATGAAGGAGAGTTCTCGAAGCTTGGGTGCCTTTCATCCTCTCTCCAGGTTCATAGGGTTTCTGGAGGCAAGCTATTATGGAAGTGGATGCCACTCCCCCGGCAGTTTAAATAAGCCTGTGGCTCCTCACCTGAAGGTTTAGTCTCAGAAACCTGATAGCTGGTAGCCAGGAGTCATAACTGAATCATCAGAAGGAACCTTTACTGCAGTAAAGGGTTCGGGACTTTCTTTGACTTGTGCTTGGGGAGATCTCGCCAGAATCAGAGTTAGTTTATTTACTCTTCAAGCCTACTATTCTCCCCCCAACTTGTCAAGCTCAGAAAGTGTATGAGCTTTACCACCTACTCACTGTGTAACTTTGGGCCAATAACTCTGGGCTGGTTCCCCCAACTCAATGGGTGGTTAAGAGATGGAATGAGATCCTGTTTATAAAACATCTAGCTCTTCACTCTACATGCTGTTGTGAGTGGCCAGTCTCATGGGAGAGTCTGACTCATGGTGACCTCAGAGCGGAACTGCTCTATTCACCTTTCAAGGCTGTGACCTTTCAAAGCAAATCACTTGGCTCTGGGTGGGTTCGAAACGCCAAGCTAAGTGGAGAGACTCCTTTGCCACTTTAAGGGAAAAGGACCCATCTCTCCAAAAAAAGAGAGCTTAGCAAGACTAGGATGCCCAATGACTCACAAATGATTTGGGCCAGGACTTCTATCTTAAGGGAAAAAGTATTGTGCAAACAACCCAAGCTTGTCAACAAGTCCCCATTCTGGAGAATGGAGGCAGGAGAGCAGTGGGAGAGGGGGAAAGGAGGAAAAAGGAACCAAATATTTCTGGTCAAGCTTGCAGACTACCTTCCTGAAGTCTTGTTGTCAATGTTTACAAACTTTGCAAAGACTGACACATCCGCATTAACTTCAGGAAAGGAGTTGGGGTTGACTGCCCAAGCAAGCACAGGTGCAGGATGCTCAACGTTCCCATCGGGCCAGGAACCACCTACACCACGCCTACCTCCCCTCTCCCACGCGAACCGCTGGTCTGGATGATCGGGCAGACTCTCCCGTTGTGGGGCCCCTGGAGTAGACTCACTGCCGAGGCCTTTGTCCAGGTCGAGCTGGTCCTCAGCTTTCTGCGGCTCCTCCTCCGCGGACTCCGCCACCACTTCGGCGCTCGGCTCCGGCGGAGCGTCTTCCTCGGGCTCCTTGTCTTTCTCGGACGGGGCGTCGTCCGCCGGCTGCTCCAGGCCAAACCAAGTGCTCAGACCCCGGAACATCCCGCCAGCGGGGCTGCCGTCGCAGTCCCAGTCACCAGAGACCTCCGCGGGCGCTGTCAGCTCTGGACCCTGCCGAGCCTGTCGTCCAAAGAGATGGCCGGAAGTCGGAGCAAATCAGGGGCGGTGCCTCTTACGGTCTCCGCCTCTTTGGCAACGCCCCCGGCCACGGCGTGTGTGTCACTTCCGGTCGGGAGGTTCCAGCTGTGACGACTTATGGCTTGGATAACTTTATTGTCCACCTAGACAGTGGACAAAAAGGTACTTCTGTGCAGAGTCCTTGCGTAGTTTTGGAAGTGTCAGACCCTCATTTAGGCATGTGGACAGGAATGTCTTCACCCCAATCCTATTTAGTCCCTCATTTAACGACTGCATGTAACGAGCTTCCCTGGAGACCCTGTAGCCTCGCCTGGTCAGGTCAGGCTGTGGCAGGTTCCCACGGAAGTACAGCCTTTTCTTCTTTCAGTTATTTATTTTGAATCAGAGTTTGTAGATTATATGACTTTCATTCATAATACATTTTGTTTTATAACATTGTAATTACAGTTTCACGGATCATACATATACATTTTATTTTATAACATTAATTATCATTGATTAATATTATTAATTATAATGTCTAATGTCAACCCCCTTTGGAAGGAGGAGTGGCATCCACTTCCATAACAGCTTGCCTCGGAAACCCTATGAACCTGGAGAGAGGATGAAAGGCACCCAAGTGTCGAGGACTCTCCTTCAGAGGGTCACTATGAGTCGCCTGCAACTCGACGGCTTAGCCTCCTCAGGAGCCCATCTAAACTCGCCCAAGGCCTCCAAATTCAACGACCAACTTACAGAGCGAATACAGAAGACAGACGAAAGCGTACAAAGATACCGCGGGATGCAGCCAGCCGAAGTCAGACTGTGAGAAACCACCGAACACACGACCTAGTTTCCCCAATAAAATTTCGAAGAACTGCGAACAGGGGAGGGAATTTATAGGTTTAAAAACGGCTATCCAAGGGATAAATATGACCCGTGAAAACATCTGGACTTTATTTGGACCCTCATTCAAGCAATCAAATTGCTAAAGAAAGTGACGTTTATAAAGAACAGGGAATTTGATGAAATCAAGGAATAGGGTATTGTATAGGGTATTGTAATTGGTTTTTTTTTGGGGGGGGGACGTCTCTTGTAGTGAGTCATAGTGAAATATTTACCAACGATGTGACACTATGTCTGGAATTTTCATCCAAATAATACAGGATGAGGGGAAATGGGTGAGGATGATGAATCAAGTGTGGCCATAAATTGATAATTGTTGAAACTGGGTGACTAGCAGTGTTACTATTTCTGCTTTTCTATTGGTTTAACTTTTCCCATAATAACAGGTAAACTAACCCCCAAAAAACTGGCTAAGTGAACAAACTGCCTCTTCATACTGGCTAGTTCATGACCATATTTCCTAGGTAAAGGAAAAAACCTAAACTCGCTGCTGTCTAGTTGATTTAGACCCTAGGAATGGTGCCCTCGGGGCTCTTTTCTGCACCAGGGCTCCTTCTCAAGTACAATCTCCAACAGTCTTTTGGGGAAGGATGCCCTTTTTGTCCCCCCCCCCCAATTGCAACCACGGTCACCATCACCACCCTGGATGATTCATTCAGTAGTACTACACTCCACTTTGCAGAAGACCCAGGTTCAATTCCCTGTTGGTGTACCTCACTCATGTACCGCTACTACTGTAGGTCAGTAGAGCCTGTATTGAACACGGTTTCTGTGAACCTTTAAGACTAAAACGAACTAGTGATTTACTTCTGAAAGTCAGCCAACAGATGCAGTCCAGCCTGTGGATCACCATGGCCAGGACCGAAGTATCTCATTTCAATGGACAAGATGAAAAATTCCAGTGACCTGTGTCACTGAAGGTGGGGGATTCTGACTTCTGACTTGCATTTACATTTTATTCTGCTTTTGGTTTAAGAAACACAACTTGCTTTTAGAGTCTGGGTACTTAATGAACTTTGTAAGTCAGGAAATGTGTTAAGGCCACACTGTATTTTTAGGATGTATTTAGTGAAAACTTAGAAGCAATGTACATTTCCCAGAAAAGGATGATTGTCCCAAGTATGGTTGGAAAGAGCCTTGAATTTGATTCAGAAGCTAATGATGGGATTCTCCACCCCTCTCCATAGTTCTAATTGAACTTTTATTTGTCTCATTTGCCAACTTAGCATATTCCACCAACTTGGGAAGCAGAAACAAACTTTCACAGGTTTCACAAATTTTTTGTTTAAGTGCTAGTTTTGTGGGAGCTATAGTTGCAGCCAATGCAGTCTTTTTAGCTGCTTGTTTAGCCTATTTTGCTCCCTTGGCAGTCCTGATGGCCTGTTCTCGTTGAGCCTTTCTAACTTCAGGCTTTTGATTCCTCTTGGCCATTACAGCAAGAGATGAACCAGTGAGGGCCCTCTGGAATTTGAAGGTACAGCGGGTCCTTTTCTTTTTAATTTCTTCTCATTGGCCCTTTTTGTGCTTCTGTAGAGGACAGTCCAATTTCTCTGTCATGGTTCCTTTTGGAAAGGAATGCCGACTCACATTTTGCCTTAAGAAACTGGAATACCTTCCCGTTCATCCTGCTGTAGCACCTCCCATGTCCAGGGTAGATCTTGTACCCCTTAAACAGCCCAGGTCCACCTTCATGGCTGCGACTGTAGGTGAAGTGCAATAATGGGAATCTTAACAGTACCATCTCCTAGGTAAATTCCATTGGCTTGCTACTTGTACTTTTAGACTTCTCAAGTTTCCTTAGCTACAAAAGCCTTTCTTACAGCAGAAATGGTTGCTATCCCATCCACCTAAATTTGCTTTATATATATCACCAGGAAGCCATGAAACCACTGTGCCCCAGGCAAGGGACATCTTTTTTAATGGTTTTGAAAGGTAAGAGTCATCTGAATAAAAATATAAGTAACGAAATTAAGGAGGGACATTTTCTTTTTATTTCTTTTTTGATCCTTTTCAAGGTCCAGCACCAAATACTCTGTGCACACTTGCTGTTGTTAATTGTGTCAATTCTGAGTTAAGGCGATCCCAAGTGTGCAGTGTAGAGCCGCTCCATAGAACTTTTTTTTAAAATTTTCTTATTTTTGTGTGCATGTACTGTCAAATCAGATCTGACTGGTACAGGAGAAGATTGTCCCTCCTTCCCTGGCAGAGCATCTGGTGGATTTGAACCGTTCGCCTCTGCAATTGTAGTTGCAGCTCCTTGCCACTAGGCCACCAGAGCTCCCCTTCCATAGAACTTTTGAGGGTATGCCTTTTCTCGTTCTTTTGAGGTGCCTCTTAGTGGATTTGAACTAGCAGTCTGATTGGCAAGTAGTTGAGCGCTTAACCATTTACACCATTCAGGGACCCTTTATGTGTACTAAAAACCTCAAACTCACTGCCACTGAGTCTACTTTGACACAAAGTCATTGGTTTTCTGAGGCTGCAAATCATTATAGGAGGAGACTTCCTATTTTTCCTCCCCCTGTGTTTGGTGGATTTGAACACTGAGACTTGAAGCCTTTGGGTAGCAGTGCACCTTGCTGCAGACTGCCACAACTCTTCAGCACCTGATAACAACAATCACAGCTCTGCAGATATAATCATTTGCTTAATGTACTTTATGCATAGAAAGTTACATTATATAACAAGACAGACATCTGACTTTAGACACAAACCTTCCCTACCTGTCTGAATTTCCATATAGTTTATTAAAGATAAATTTAGGAATGGAGAAATTTTGTAATCTGAGTATGCCTCACTTTGTGAAACTTCACTTTAGACCACTTCTTTTTCACAAAACGCCAACATGAGTAACTGTTCCCACTAGTTGAAAGAAATACAAAGAAGTTTTTCTCTTTTATGAAAAAAACTGAAAAGCAGAGCTACATAAACTCAGCATCTTCACCTTAAGTCGCCAGAGCTTTGTACTGTTGTCTGTGAACTCCCCGTTAGTGTGATTAGAAGCTTTATGTGTTGCTTGATATGATCAGTAGGTTATATTTTTGATCTGGACTGGTAAAAAAATAAATTTTGTCTCGATAGAAGTGAATGATAATTCTTTTCTTTCCTGCATTTTGACTGATGTACAGGTTCCCAAGAATGTTCTACTTTCAGATAGCATGGGAAACCAGTAAGACCGTCGTGTTTAGCCTGGTTCACAAACATCCTTTCCTGGGGGCCCCTTGGGAAGGCTGGCTTCATTGGCAAGTCCCTGTATCCCTATCTCTAGCTATCTTGTGAGGTGCCTCTTCTCTCTTTGCCCTCCATGGGGCCTGAGGCTCCCTCAAGGATATCCGCCTGCGTGAAGCGTGAAGCATGAAGCATGAAGAAGCCTCTGCTCACTTCCCCACAAGTTAATATCAGTGTCCCCAGCTCCCAAGTGTTTCTTCCACAACACTGAGCTCTCACCCTTCATGGGGGACAGTCTTCGTCTTCTACTTCTTTTTTAATGGTTTTTATTTCGCTCTTCAACTACTTAGGCAGCTTAGTGGGGCAGATAGTTAGGCAGTTGATTCCTGGTCAAAAAGTTGGCGCACACTCGTGGGGTCACCATGAGTCAGACTGAACTTGAGGGCAACTGGTTTGGCTTTTTGGCTTTGATTTGTTTTTTAGGTCTCTGATGACACTTGCTTAACTTGCCCTCTAGTATCTCATGCTAATTTGTCACCACTTTGAGTCTTCTCTCTTCCAACCATAGAGACCTCTGACTCCTACTCTACAGAGAAAACAGACTTCCAAGCCAAACCCCTTTAACTTTCCATCCCTAGCCACACTCTGTATTTGCTCCCTTTCTTACCCTGTAGGCTCACAGCTTCTTGGTCAGTAGATCATGCAGTCAGATTTGTTCCTGGCTTTGTAATCATACCACAATGCATCCGTGTCAAAGCAGGCCCTTAAGCCCCCATTAATAGTTGGTGGATTATGGACTTTTGTTTTCGCGAGGTGTAGTGTTAGGGGAACGACTTTGGAAGCTGAGAAGC